CCGATTTATGGCCTTACCATACCTGGATTGATAGCCTTTGGGGTAATTTAAATTTATTACCATATTCAAAATTTCATGAGTTATGACCTTACCATACCTGGATTGATTTATTACTATACGTGGATTAATTATGATTTATTACTATATGATTTATTACTATACATGGATAGCCTTACCATACCTGGTGGTAATTTAAATTTATTACCATATTCGATATTTCCCGAGTTATGGCCTTACCATATCTGGATTGATAGCCTTTGGGGTAATTTAAATTTATTACCATATAATTGCCATATTCAAAATTTCCTGAGTTATGACCTTACCATACCTGGATTGATTTATTACTATGCGTGGATTAATTATGATTGATTACCATAAATACGTTGGGTATTGCCGGTCAGACGAGAAAAGAGAAAAACCGGTGGGAGGGGCTGGTGGGAGGTGGGACGAAGAAAAACCGGTTGAAAATAAACCGGTTGAAAATAAACCGGTTGAAAATAAACCGGTTGAAAGTGGGGGGGACTATTCAACCAATTCGTCCATTAGGAGTAGAGATGGACGAATTGGTTGAATAGTCCCCCCACTTTCAACCGGTTTATTTTCAACCGATTTTTTTTTCAACCGGTTTTTCTTCGTCCCACCTCCCACCACCCCCTCCCACCGGTTTTTCTCTTTCTCGTCTGGCCGACAATACCCAACGTATTTATGGTAATCAATCACAATTAATCCACGTATGGTAAGGCTATAAACTTAGAAATCTCAAATATGATAATTATAGTAATAAATCAATCCATGTATGGTAAGGCTATAACTAAGGAAATTTCGAATATGGTAATTATCACCAGAATCAAAGCTTTCCAAAAAAGTTCTTCTTGCCATACCCTTCAATCGCGCCCTGCTCCATTCCGATCTCCTTACCTCAATCGCTCCAGCTGATTTACTCTTTCCAAACCTAATCCCTGCCTGATCTAGATAAAGAGGCTCTCTCCTGCCCGTCTCATCCCTCCCTTGTGCCAACCATGGAAGAGAGGAGGGAGAGCACAGAGGAGCGCGCCGGCGATGCGCCGATGCTCGCTGGTTGAGGCATGGTCGGCGTGTGAGTCAAGAGGATCCCTGCATCTGTGGTGGTAGGTGGTCCAAGGAAGAGTAGTCGAACATGAAAGCGATGGGAGGGACAACACCCTGCTGCCGGGCTCGTCCGCCTCTTCGTGGCCGACGAACGCGTTGGATGTGGCCGAGGGCGGCGATGATGGAGGGAGCCGCTGGCGCTGGCCAGGCTCCCGACCGAGTCGCCGCTCCTCAGTGCCAGCCCTTTTCGCCGCGCCGGATCGCTCGTCATCTTGGGGACCCCGAAGGGATGCCGCCGGTGTGGGAGGCGCCCACGACAGTGCGGGCTGGGGACCGAGCGGCGGGGGACGTTACGGGTTCCGTTCT